TTTGATACTGACAGCGCGTTAACGTATTACTTGAAAGATAGCAACGGTGTTACTAAGATATTTATTCTACAACCGTAGCAACTCGTATTCTGGAGATGTAGAAATACGTTCTCCTCTAGGAAAGTGTCTTTCTTTTTTAAGAAGGCGCCATACTAATTCGGTAAAAGTTATTGGAATTTGAACCGTCTCAATATATATGATTCACATTCTTTGAATGATTTTTTTTCTGGCGGATGATTTCTTTTTTTCACTTCCTGTAATGTTAGTTTGGACGGTTTAATCTCTTTTAGCGATTTGCTTAACAAATTCTGATGTTTTTTTTAAAGTTTATACTGCAAGGTTATTTGTTTTTCAAGCTGTACAATACAGACGTAGCCTTAGATACACAGGAATTTTTTTTCATGTTTCACTTTTACTCGGATTTGACGGCAAAATAATGACTTTTAGTCAAATGGTTTATACCTAATGCAATATGATCTACAGTAGTTCTTCCAAATACTTTTTCTAAACGAGTAGTTTTCCTCTCGTAATGTAGTTAATTCCTGATATCTAACGAAAAAATCACTATCTATAGTTTATATTTATTGATTGCCTAACTTTTTTTTCTCTCAGCGATAGGAATAATTCAATGGGAAGAGTGAGAATAACTAGGTAAGGACACAGATTAAGTAAGGCCTCAGACTAGCGTTTCATGCACGATTAAAAGTTATTTCTATGTATGAGGTCACAATAGTTTCTATGGGTTTACACCGGCAATTTCGAAACCGTGCCCTACTATTTTTCTCATGCAGCAGTATATATGCAGTGCATACACAGATGGGTCGCAATGAAGTAATGAGGCTCTTGGAATACTTAGTTCAGCAGGACAACTAATCACTGCTAAATAGGGTGATTCATTATCGGCACCAAAGTGACAGAATGACGGGCATAAACTAATAAATTGATTAAATCAAGAAAATATAGTTACTGCAACGTAATAGTTGGAGCGGGACAACAGAATGACTACGGCGGGGTACCAGGAGGATCACTACAGAACCCGTGTAAAAATGTCGGTCCGCAGCAGAGCAACAACTTATGCTACGTGGAATGTAACTCTTATTAAAAGTTACAGTAGGCTGATAAAATGAACACGAAACAAGCGCGGGGCAAAGCCACGGGTCTGACAGGTTAGTTTTCTAAAGTTTTTTTTTACACTGTTCGTGTTCATTTTATCATTAAATAAAAAACTGGGTGCTGAAATAAGTACAATTATAGGGTATGTGGGCCATAACCTAAGCTACCCACGTTGTGGATCTTCTCATTTACAAACGTGTACCCGATAGGATATAAATCGGTTCATGACCAAGAAAGACAATAATTTGTACTACATTTTAACAATTTCAAATAAAACTTCAATCAATTCTAGGTACAGGAGCAGTACTGCTGTTAAAGTATGCTTTTGGACTTATTGAGCAAAAGGAGACGTTAAAGAATTTACACGACAAGGTTCATTTCAGATGAAGATCTCTTCTATTACTCAATATAAGATATGTGAGCTCTGTAATAGCAAATACTTTATAAGATAGAAACTCTAGCGCTTAGTAACACCTTACAGTCAGGGTTCAAATCCGGGTAGAGACATACCTTGTTCCGAGCTGGGAGCCAGCCGTCGAATAAAATGGCTATATCGGACATGAAACTGAAAACAGAGAAACTCTAATGGTTGTCACAATCAGAGCTGTCGGACGGGTTTCTAAAAGAATTATTTCTACCAGTTTTATTAATATGCATATCGAAAAATATGTGCATTTTATAGATTTCCTAGTCTTACGACCATTTGAAAATTCATTGTATGATAAAGTGCTGAAGTTCAATATATGCTATTTACTATACCATTATAACTAAGTGTCTGCCTGTGTGTAGGCCTTCCTGCCTGCCTTAAACCGCTTCCGTAAATTCATAGTTTCGATCGAGCTTGATCCTGGCTTGAGCTGTGCGAGAACGTCTACCATTTGAATAGATCTTCCTTTAGAAGTAGGTTTTTGTCTTAAAAAGTACAATGGTCACGTAGGTATGTCGAGAATTTTTGGGTGCTTTATTCGACAATCGTTAAGGACCTCTGCAGCTTTGTATTGTTGTCTAGAACTTTCAGTTGTTTGCTTTCTTAAACCTCGCACAACAATTCGTAAAACATTTTTTTCCGAGGAAAAAGAGAAACATTTGAGGTTTTTTTTTACTTTCGCGATTTGAATGTACAGTTGTGTTGGGAAATGGCCTCATAGAAAATACAAAGAATGGAATAACTATAGAAATATTTTAACTGGAGGACAAAATTTGTTCTATAGATGCCTAAGGTGTCTCAATCATCTCAGTCCAAGTAGTTTTACTCTAAATTCGCCACAGTTTTCTCAGTCTTCGCGAAAGTTCTTCAACTTAATTTTATGAAAAAACTTGAACTTTGCATTTGGTTTCCTCGGACTTCCTCGATTGTCTCAAATCTTTTTTCCTTTTAATTCTAGAACTTCCTGTGAAGATAGCATGCAGTGATGCATTATCTCTTCATCACTTTTTATATCAATTTTAAATTACAGATTAACGACGATCAATATACATAGCAGATTAATAATCTTTATAATTATTATATACATATAAAATATGTTCTATGTAATAATAATAAAATAATTCGCAATAGGAATTATTAACCTGCTATGTACATTTTTCGTGTTTCATTCCGGATGTCTTAATAACTTTATTGTATTGAGTAGCTTACTAGGAAGCTATCAACTGCATTGCTCTTCCTCGCATAATGGGTTCTCTACCTGAGGGTACAGGCCAACGGCCTCTTGGAGGTCCCACGGTACGCATATGATCTTATTTAACACCTGGAACACTTCGATTTCTTCGTCAGCGATAGTTAATTGAAGTTGGTTAACACTGCTTCGTAAAGGGTCACCAATATATGAGAGTGTAATTTTATCAACGATGATAGTCGACAGTCATTCTAATCGTTTTTTCTCTTTACTACAAACGTCTGATATTAGTAATGCAGAATAGTACGTTTCCCAATTGTTATTCAATTCGTTTCGTCAACCCATATGATCAACGAATAACAAAACGTAAATGAACCTTGTTTGGTAATCCGGACAAATAAGATACGACAAGGGGTCGTACATTTCCAAGAGCTTGTAAAATAGGAAACCCATGTTCAAATGCCGTGAGAATTCTTCTGTAAATCGCAGACAAGCAAGTAAGTGCAGGCACAATCACAGCCACGGGTCGAAATTTCACAGACCAAAAGAGCTTTTTGCTGAGCTACTGTCTCACACTTTTTGGCGCAGCGGCATTAACAAGGCCATAAGTTTGTGAAGATTCCATAAACCTTAATTTGAAAAATTATAGCATGGATTTGACAGACTGCAAGTTAACTTTATACACGTTTATTTGGATTTATATTAGTTATTTTGAGGCTGGAATCGGTTATTTTTTTAAAACCCAATACAAATGCAAGGTGGCAGTAAAAAATTGATCTGAAATGATCTATGAGGTTTCCTCTTTACTGATAAGCAGACACTAGTAGTATTCCCTCAGCTGGGTTCAAACAAGGCGTGAAGGTTAGCGGCCGTTCTGCAACTAATGTTCCCGTTAGGTTCGCTGTCTTTTCTCGATCGTTTTAAACTAATTTCGTATTATCCAGATTCTGAGTAATTTGGGAAAAGATTTCGGGGTTTAATTGTTGCAGCGAGCGCTGTTCAGAAACGTTTTAACATCAGTCAGGTTTAGGATGTATTCGATGACAGTGAAGACAACAATAAGCTAATCCCTGGTGTCAATCAGCTACTGCGCTCAGGAAGCGGCTCAGGCAGCTGCCCAACTGGCCTTTACTAGCTTTAGAGCAGCAGCAACCAACAAACAAGGCATAACCGTATTTGCCAAGTATAAAATTGCGTATTTATTCGCGACACTTTCAACATACGTATTTTATATTCATATATATTTTATATATCATATTTAATAGTATATGATTGAAAAATACCATAGCCGATACAAAGAACAAGAACGGGAATCAGGCCAATTTTGAAATGTCATATTTTATGTTTTATGAGTGTATTTTTAAAAAAATATAAATATATTGGTAACATTACCCAAAATAAATTGTACACTGATATATTGCATGATTATTATTTGCTGAGTGATGTCAAGTTGAGAACAAACATTTTATTGAATCGGCCTCTTAGTTACGTCTAAGATACAATTCAGAAGCAAACAATACAAGAATTTGATTTTATTGTTGCCCTTTGTTTCCTATATAGTTAAATTTATGTCACTGTGTTTCGAACGCACGCTGAACTCCTTTCAGAAACCCATAATGATGTCTAGGTTTAGTGTGTTTTCTGGCCAACCCAGAACGAGGAAATTCGCTTTTCAAAGAAAAATGCGTATAACACGACCAGTGTGATTTTTTTATAAATACACACTTTGGATCGAAAGTAATGGCAGTTCCTCTATCAGTTCTTTAGTCGTAGCTATTGATCTATTCAAGGCTGGGCATTATTTGAAACAGGACTAGACTCAAGGTCTGTATATAAGGCACTGGATCGAAAAAACTTCGGATGTTATTTGAGGACCGGAGCCGAATCTTCTCGTAAGATTTGACCATCATTCATACCGGCAGCGTTCCAGAAGCTTGGAGAACCAGCGTTGCCATGAAAGATAATTCGTTAAGGTTTTCAAACCTAGTGATTAAAGACAGTCTTTGAGGGAAGTTCAGCACTTGGCAAAAACTTGCCAATGCAATTATGGCCACGTGGAAGACAAAACGCAAAAGTGAAATAAAACCATAGTTATGACCCGCTGCTAAATTGTATTTCAGACACAAATGCGGCTCAAGGACGTTTAGCACAATATTTGACATCGGTCAATAAAAGTGTCGATACTTTCATGTTAAATTCAGATTTGTGTATTTAAGCTTGACTCTATTTCTGGTTGCTGTGCATTGTATGCCTTGGTTTGCTACAACTTACAAATGGATGTCGTTCTGTTCATGATATGGAGTAGTTGAGGTAGTTGTAGAGGAAGGATCTTCGTGGCTACTAGAGCTGACTTCTGCATGCCAGGGGAGAATGTTGCCTGAAAAGCGATCCCAAAATGTGACGCCTAACCTAGTTCTGATAATAAGATTTGCCATTTTACAGGTATATATATTATTCTATGTCGCGCATGCGACACTTTAGCAGTTCATAATGCAGAATTTTCCCGTATTGTTTAATAGATATTCATTAGCAAAGATCAGGGTGATTGCTTACTTTGTTTCTCTCACTTTAGCCTCTATCGCGCTTTTTTTCTTTGACAAAAAATGTTCGAACAATATTTCTGAGTTTTCCGATACAGCCTAAACATTCCCATTGATGTCATCTTAACACCACCATGCTTTACTATGCAGCTACCGCCAAGCCCTGTAATTTATGACTATGCGAAACTTCATACGACACTGGCGTACGAAATGAACAGTTGGATCCGTCCTGAAATTGGCACCCAACACGGTTGCATTTCTTAGTAGATCACTGATTTAGTAGTCGTGTGGCTTCGATAACTCCGGTATCTGTTAGCTGTGTTTGTGGCTGAGGGTCCCACACCACTTTACCTCTTTACAGATTTGCGGCGACAAAATATTAAATTCATTTATTACAAGACACTTTGTTTAAAGAATCGAAATATAGCTAAGTCTGGAATAGCTCTTGCATGAAGTATGTGAATCTTGTATGGCCGTGGCCAAATTTTTAACATGCACGCCCTTTGAGATAATAACCATAACCTAATATACCTGTTAACAGCCCGAAAAGACCACAAATTTCTGTTTGGCAAAAGGATAACAAATTATTTTAACCAATGAATGAACTACGGCGAGACGCTCTACAAATAGGAGACAAGAAAAAAGATACTACTACATCACCGTCGCCTTATCTCTAGCCATTTAAGCGAGCCAGAAACACGAGTGAAGCATGAAACTGAATACGATGTTATGGCAGGAGGAATCCTGAGGAACTTCGCCTAATGTCGAAGTACTTCGACCATTTGTGCCAAAAGGAGTGAGCACAGTGAAGTATGCGCACGACTTAACATTCATACCCACTACCATAATGAAAAAGTAAGTTAGTTATGTCAGGGATGAGATCTATAGCTCTCTGCGTTTATCCAAAGACAATTTTAGTCCCAGAATCTAGAGACCACTTCAATCGCCAGAGTCGTAAGTACGGTGGCACCTTGGAACGGTATGGTCGGAGAGGGGAAATAATATATCAGGGTCAGAAATCTACCCAAACGAGCGATGAGCAGATTACTCTCGAGAATTCGTAACAGAAGTGGGTGATTGTAACAAGAGACGTCGCCCGGACTAAGAGTTCGATACAGAAAATCAAAAACTGATACTTTAATGACTTCGGAGGTCTAACCTATACTTTAAGCATTTGGCAACGGGGGCTTCTAGGAGTATATTTATAGATCAGAAAAACTGGCATGAGACTTTTGCATCCAATGCAAGGCTGACGTGTGGGACTAATGAATTCGAACATTACACTTCACTTTTTTTTTGAGGAATGAAAGACAGAAGTTAGGAGAGAACTAAAGTGCTTAATTAGTCCTAAAGAAGCCAGTGCTTCATAATAAAGAGACCCGCGCATTAGTCTTCTAGTACATGATGATACTCAGGGAACTTGAATAAGGACATGAGCAAAGAAAATATAGATGGAAAGCAGAGCCATCCAGAGTACTACGTCGAATAAAAAAGAGAGTTTTTCCCTAGAATCAAAGTTCTATACCTATATAGGTCCAGGGACAGAAGAAGTTGTGGATGTAGTTGGTGCTGATAATAGAAAACGCTGGCTAAAGGCCGATATGATCGAGAAAAATACTTTGGAGTAAGACCCGGTGTCAGCCGACTGAATATACATGTTAATCACTTAAAAAAGACGGTATCTACACAGCGGTCTTATTTGGCGTCTTGTCAGCACCATGAAGCCATCAGAGGTTGTTTTTTTTGTAGGTTTATGGGCGTAGCTTGCGTAGAGCAATTAACGTAACTTGCCATTACATAATTAATGAATTGAACTCATTACATAATGGAAAAGAGGTAAGGGCTCTTAATCTTCGATATATGTACGAAAAAATCCTATTATAGAGTATCATATATATCTCACCAATATGTGGTGAGATATATATGATGATACTCTTTCAAGTGGCTCACCTTTAAGGAAATGCGGGGAAAGTTATTTGCAAATAATATTACATTCATAAATATTCATAGAGTATGATTTACAGATTAAAATTAAATACCTAATAAGCTGTAAAAAGGACGCGTGGCCTTTTAAGATGTACTTTGCATAGATGACTTGCAAATAATTGACACTGAAAGGCGCTTGCTAACATGCTTTTAGCAAAAATAGGCACCATGCAAATTTTTTTTTTGTAGATCCGGTAACCTTTATGACGCCTATCGTTGCAATGATCCCTGACCACTGACCCTTGTGTAAACAATAAAGTGAAGTGTTGATAATGCTGTTATAGAGCTATAATAGTTAAGTCGGACTGCTATAAGGCTAACTCGACAAGAACTTTAATGACAAATATAAATTAATTGAAAAAAAAGCTGGGGTAACAAGAGCTGAGCAGACATCAACACTTGTGTTTATCTTTTCCCGTTCTACGTCCGGTACCTAAATCGTTACGCATTCCTTCGACCAAGATATCAACACCTGTTAGAAGAATTATGAAGATATATGAACAGTATTAATGGGTATTGTGTATCAAGAGTGGCTTCTGCATTAATTGAAGCATACATAGGTGGCCAAACTTTTGTTACATTTTTTTTAGCATTTGTAGTCCTGCAAACGAGCCGGCCAGCAATTAAAGAAGACCTACTGTAAAAGGAAAGTCTCATGAGGTCTCAAAGCAACCAGGTACGAACTTGTCCTGCCTGTTATTCAGTCAAAAGTACCCTTTGGATGCCTATGCTTATTTTAGTTTAATGTGTAAATACTACTGAGCGCCAAGTTTCTGAAGGTTTAAGGCCGCTTGGTCGCTCTTCTGCTGAGAAAAAATGGCAACGCACAGAACAGTTATCCAAATTGCGAAAGCTTATATTCAATTTTTCAACAAAAAAGATTGCACATAATAATTTCTACATAGATACAATACTTGATAGGTACTCTATTTGGTTTATTTTCTTAGTGATGTTAAAATGTTTCAAATCATATTGGTGTTTTTATTCGACCACAGGTTCTCCGTCCATAGCACTCCGTTTGTGAACGTTCGGCCGACCATTTTCACGAGCTGAATTTTGTCGTTCTCAAAACGAACAAGCTCGATCAGGACAGTAGTAAGCATGAATTGTGAGTGAGCTTTCAGCTTCTCCGAAACTATAGAAATTCAGTATCGTCTATTTAAACTCAGAGCTTTCACCTACCCTATTGTGCTAATCCAGCATTCTCTAATTCCTGCGAAGATTATATTCTTCCGCACATACGTACGACAGCTGGTTGCAGTTTCCATAACTTGCAATGAGCATGCGATGCGAGTGGATCTGTTCTGCAATGAAGAGGCGCATTTCCTGTGCGACCACATCTACAAATTACAATTTTGCTTGTTTCCCTTGACATGCCCCACAGTTTTTTTCTCCGATCGACGGGCTCTTTCTATGTTGTTTCCATTTCTCTATACGATGTGAGTTCGTGAGGATAGACCATCGGGCGCCCCGTCTGAGCGCGCCAGAGAAACTGCGTTTCCTTCTTGGATAAAGGCATGACACACACCTAAAGATACAGGAAATACAGGAGTGGAAAAGATGTAGAAGCGATGTTGCAGATTCTGCTTTTGTGACTCCTTCTATAGCTGAATCCGGCGCAAAAAGGATTGTCTACAAGCAGATATCCTCAAGACGTGTTTACACACAGAAGCAAAACGACAAGTTATGGCAATGACACCACCTGCTACAGAGAGAGAACCAAGAAAATACAATACATGGTACAGCTCACAAATGGTATCAGGGAAGCTGAAGCCAAAAGGCAAACAAGGAAGGTCGGGGTGTCAACGCATAGGTTACCATTGGTAACTATTGTCAATAGTAGATGCATCAATAGGCTCTAGTCTCACCTACGATTAACCATTGCTTTCTACACTGTATCTTTCTAAAGTATTCGGTCAGACGCACAAACAGAAGCTATTTTGTAGTTTTGAAGAGCAAGCCGCAAATATAATATTAGAGCGAGACGTGCCTTTAGTCTACTAATCTGCTTACAAATAGACAACATGTTTCGTAGAAATTCAACCACATCTCCATTTCACGAAACAGGTAATTTTGTTATATTAGTATATATTTATGATAATGTATTAGAATGAACTTCGTAATGATTTTGATAGTCAAAAAAGGACGCGGCTAAATAATGCGGGGGAAAGAAGCAGGAATCAAATATGTAGTAACAATTTAGATTGACTTAATACGGTTAATTTTATTTTTCAAATTCTATGTTTAACACTACCCTTCAGCGAAGCTGCTTTAGAACTAAAACCAAAAATGACGGAGTAAAATTTTACTAGTCGAACTAAATCAACAACAATTCGATTGGTCATTGATGCAAAATTAAAAAATACACTTCTTGAAGCTCAGTAAACTAATTCTATTACCGTAGTGTTATTGAGAAAATGTTGTTATAATTAGCGTTGATACGTACCTATGACAGGTGCACTAACTCAGATATATGCCTGCAGCATAAACGCCGGACTCCTAACCTAAAATCTACGAGGGAATATACCTCACTCAGGCGGTCAGTGTACCATGGTGTGCAAAAATGACTCGTTAGTGTGCGAAGTGGCTATTTAAGCTATAGAAGCCATTGAGTGCACTCAGCCAGCACATTACAAAAACATAAATGTATCAAATCGGAGAAGAGTTTGCATCTCTTGTATCACTAACTGGCATTTAGCGTTTGCTCATAGTTAATTATACAGTTGAACTTATTACCTGATCTTTTTGGCGGCTTTACACATTTTGTGTAGATTCAATGAAAATTAAGAAAGCCA